TTATTTGAACACATGTGTACTTTGTTGGTATTATGTATATACATAGTATATTTTAATGGTATTTTGTGTACTAAAAAAACAAATATGATATTTTTTGAACATTTTGGAAACCGAGTCTTGATGGTTACTTACAATAGCCGGTTCAATGTTATTTTGTGTACTAAAAAAAACCAATGGTAATTTTTGTACATTTTTTTTAAACTTCGTTACATTTTAAAGTCATTTTCCCAAAAGGTACCAATGCATAATTATCCATGAGAACACTTTTAAGAAATTAGGACTCATAACTCATCGTGTAATCTACTTAATATTAAGAAATAAGAAGCATTACCTTATTAATGATGCTTAATATTTGATCCTCCTTGGATTTCACTTAAAACATGCTTGGGTTTCTCTTACATACACTAATTACACCAAAAACACACAAGTGTTCTGAAAAAGGACGTTTGAAGATGGAACGAGTAAAAAAAACGATGTCCTCATTTTAGTGGGTATATGATCCCAATATAATAGGATACATGTATCATCAATTGGATGACTATAAGAGTTAGTTGTCCTAAAAATGGACCAATTTGCATTGTCACGCTCCTTTACGCGTCGTCAAACGGCGGTCAACTCTATCGTACGGTCTAGGGGCATTGTTTGTGTGGATGAGGCAGAACCCACACTTTTCTCTCACATTTTGTCTGCGTGACATTCCATGCCTTAGCCTAATGTTATGATTCATATTTACAACTTTTTTTTTTTTAAATATCACAACACTTTCATATAGATTCCAATTTCCATGATATTTATATGAATGGAAAGCTCTCAAAGGATACTATAACTTCTGTTTATAGACATTGGACTAAAGATGTATATATCTGTAACTATTAAGTCATAAACATGGGTCTATATTCACTTTTTCCATTTTTATGCCTTGGCTTAGTCATGTTCAAGTAACCATAATTCCTTCATTCTATGTCCAATTATTCTTGATGTTTTTTTTCTATGTTTTCATTGATATAATTTATACAACTTTTATTTATAGTTTTCCCCCTAAACATCTTATATTTTAATTTATTAAGCTCTAAAGATGACACATTTGGAATTGTATAAAATCCCATCAAGTTCGATAAAAAATTTCTTCCAACTTTGCAAGCTCATAATTGTTCAATCTTTTACTAATTATTTTGGTTCTTTTTACATTATTAAGCCTTATATATGCCTTCTATCCATTATAATATTGCTTGTATCTTTTACCTATATTTGTATTTGGTTAGCTTAAAAAAGCTCCACAGTTGACACTTTCATTATTTCATAAAAAATCTAAAATTTATGATTCTTATAATATTACCCTCACACATGTATTCAATGCATTAGATGGTCACACGAATTCAAAATAACTCTTAACAGGTTCACAATTGAAATTTCAGATTTTTAACTTAAATGACTAAAAGACCTTTTTGTGTAGAAATTCATATTCAAACAATATTTCTATTATTCTCAAAGGTTTTATCATAAACTTCTAACATCCTAATCACATACATTGTAGGATGTTACACCTTATGTGTACCCATATACTTCATAAAATAATAAACATCCTTATATTGTTTAAGAACAACAAGTCTATAATCTAAATCACCGTCTTGGTTTATTAAATGATAAAATATGGGTATTTCTTCCAAATAAACTAGTTTACACATAACTATATATGGTTTGATAACAAAAAGACTAATAACATGTGCGAATTAACCAGACACCAGATCGTAAGTGGTGTAACTTAAATGATGGTGGTGACTTTTCGGTTGCTATTACAAGACAACATATTCGAGATAACACCTTACGTGATACAAATATGATCACAAGATGGTGTATATGTGTTCCTTAAAAGGTAAATGTTTTCCTTTAGAGAGCTATGTGTGATCATTAACCCGCTCGTCTAAATATCTCTATAAAAAGGTTTAGATCTTTGAAATATTAAATGTCCATTATGTAATTATGGAGTAGAAGCAGTTAAATACGTGTTTTTATGTGCAAAAGTGGCCACAAAGTTATAGAAGCTGATTGAGAGGTAGTGTGGAATCCAATTCCATATTGTCAATAACGTAACTGAATGGATGACTTGGCTTGATAATACAACAATGACAAATCAGAAGAAAGATAGACTGAAGGTCATGATGCTTATTACTTGCTGGATGTTTTGGAGATATTGAAATAATAGTGTTTGATTTTTGCATATTGTGGAAAGACGCAATCTTTGATAATGTTGCTGTATTTTCTTTTCCGTGCTATAAACATAGACTGTCCAAAGTTGTTTTTTGAAATGATTGGTTAAAAATCCATTGTAATATTCCTTCTAACAATCTGTTAGAGGTATGAATATATAGTTCTTTTGTTGTTAAAAAAAACAATCAACCATGATGTTTTTAGCTTCCATGTGTTTTTTTCATAGTGAATTGATGAATATGCCAAAAAGGTTTTCACATGTACATAGTAAAAAGTAAGGATCCATAAAATCACAATAAACATAAGCATTAAAAATATTATTTGAAAAAAGAAAATAAACAAAGAAACTTAAGATCAACATTATATAAACATATAACATACCATACACAACTTTTTGGATCTTCCACATGAACAACATCATTTTAAAAGTAAAACATGTATATACCAGTACTTTGGAGCTAATGCTTACCAAAAAACTAAGCTTGATGGTCTTTTCAAATGAAAATGAAGTTGAATAGATAAATTTTGGGATAGGTAGTTGACGTATGACGTATTACTTTTTAAGAGAGTTATGGTAATAAAGAGATAGAAACTGAAATAAACATTTTACCATCGTTTGCAAGTGTGTAACACTTGTGATGTAACGACTTAAACAAACAATAAAAGACTGATGCATTTTCTTTGTAACCAATGATAAGATTAAAGACCGTAAAAGTTAGGCAAAGAGTGCAAAGTTTTGAAAACCATATGAATAATTTGTGAATAATTTATGAAATATGAAAAACAACAAAAATCATTTATGCAAGATAAAACTGCAAAAATGGTCAATATGATATGTTAAAAACTGCCACTTTGGTCCAAAAAGTTTTGGACTTGCGCCAATACTCCAAAACTTTGATTTTTGTTGCGAGTTTGGTCCGTTTCATAATTGGAAGTGTGTGGAATGACCTTTTTACCCTTTCTATTTAGTTTTCCCTTTTCTTTTTTATTTACTTCAATATTTATCCAATTAAAATAAATCAAAAAAATATTCTACCCTAGTAACCCAAGAACTCTTTAACAAACTTTATCTTTCTCCCCCTCTCTCTCTCTCTCTTATTTTTCATGTCTACCGGAAAATTGACCGGCCAGGTGGCCACATGTGTATCGCCTCTGATCCCTGGCCGGATCACTTTGTTGCAAAAACTCTCCACTAACCTTGAAACATTCCCGACAACGACTTCCAAATCCGAAAAAGTCAACATGAATATCCGTCATCTTCTCTCCATATCTACATCTGTCTGCCATGGAGGTTTTCGATCTGAACAAGTTGCCTCTGGTGACGAACACGTTTGAGCCCTTTAACGACAACAAACATATGGTCCGAGCCCTTGATTTTCCGAAGACAAATAAGTGGTATGGGCTCTTAGTCAGAGGTGATGGTTCAAATTTATGTTGTCACAACAAACCCTAGCGTCAAATATCGCCGTTGGAAACCCTTAGATTTCCAGCAACTATGATGTCAATATAGGTCATAACTTAACATTTCCAGACAGTGGTGTCATTTCAGTGTAGATCTAAAGCATTATTGTGACAGTGCAACCCGAGGTCATAGATCTGTGTAGGGTTATTAGATCGACGCCGATGGTTTTCAAATAAAAGGTGAGATAAATAAATCCGAAGAGGGTTTTCATTAAGCTAGGTGGCAGCGAAACCCTAATATAGTTAGAGAAGATGAAGAACGATGGTGATCATTTTGGCTTCTATCAGTGGGGAGACGGAGCTCTGGAGACGTTAACTGTTGTTGCTACAATGAACAAGGACGACGATGTAACTCCGATTTGTTTCTTTGTGGATGAAGAGATGGCCGACAGTTTTTTCGGCGAGAATAAGATGGTGATCAACCATATTTTCCGGTGAGAATGACAAGTGGTTGACGGTGTCAACAACCAGTGGTGGTAGTAGTGGTGTTTTCTCTGTGTTAATATCAGGTGCAAGATGCGAAAATGGGTATGAGAGAGAGAGAGAGAGAGAGAGAGAGATTTTATTTTTGTTTTCCTTTTTTTTTTTTTTTTTTTTTTTTTTTTTTTTTTTTTTTTTTTCATTTTTGCAATAAACAAAAATTAAGAAAATAAAATAGAAAGAGTAAATCCGTCAATATAAAGAGTCTCAAATTTTATGAAGCAAACTCACAATAAAATAAAAGTTTTTGACCGGTGTTGCACCTTCAAAACTTTTTAAACCAAACTGACAATTTTCGACAAATCCAGTATGTTGATTTACAATTATTTTGGAAAAAATAGTTTTACAATAGTTGGTTAGTTTCAAAAGTCGGAAGAAATAAAAGTAGGGCTGTCAAATCGGGCAGTCGTGTCGTGTTTTTGTCTGATACGACACGACACGACAAGTTTTTGTATAACACGAACACGACACGACACGATGTCGTGTTTTTTTTCATTAACACGAAAACGAACCAATTAAAACACGGCAACACGACACGACACGACAAAGATAATATTACATAACTATTAGTGTATTTCGTTCATACTTACAGATATATAACACGACAAACACGAAAAACACGACAACCACATGCTTAATCGTGTCAATTCCGTGTCGATTTATGAACACGAACACGACACGATACGACATTGTGTCTTTTAATCTTGACACGAAAACGACACGAACACGAATTCGAATTTTGATTTCGTCCCGATTTCGTTTCGTTTCGTGTATTTTTGTCGTGTCGTGTCATAAATTGACATCCCTAAATAAAAGGGACTGGTTTGGTACAACGAAACATATAAAGGTAAAAAAAAGAAAAAGTATTTCCCGATACCTAAGCTGCATTCGGGCGTTGAAAAATAGTCCGGACGAAGACTCAGAACTCGCACACTCGACTGGTGTCGCATGCTCGAACGCTCTCAAGAACCTGTATCTCTTCGACGGCCGATCAAATTCGTAGGATCCCGATTCAATCTGAATTTAGTAGCTTTGATCTCATTTGTAGGTTTTAGATTTCTCTTGTTCGTTCTTAATTTATTGTTTTCTTTGTACAGGCAATGGCGAGAAAATTGGGGTTAATAGCTGTACTACTAGCAGTAACGTCGATCTATGAAGCTGTTGCGATATTTCATCCGATCTCTGAATCTCACCGGTCCGCCGCATTAGAGCTGTTCTCTCCTGCCGCTGGATCGTTTTCGAGGTTGGCCTAAACCCTCCTTAAACTTCCACATCGACTTTTGTTATGTAGTTGAATGCAGCGAATAAGTATATGAAAATTATCGATTTCTTTGCGTGATGCGGTTCATACCATTTTATTTTGTGTTTTTATTTACGGATTTAAAACTTTAGTTGCGATGAAATGACAAAGCTTATGAACACTTTGAAACTCTTTGCGTGATGCGGTAAAATTATCGATTTCTCTTAGCTCTATTACCAGACCAAGCTTAGGCACGCTTAACTGGGCGATATTGGCCTCAGGCCGTGAAATACTAGGCTGATCTTTTGCACATTTCTCAAGCTTGAAAGTGGAATATGTTTTTCACAATTAGATATCTGATCGAGTGTTCCATTTCAGCTTAGAAGAAGCCTATGAAGCATTAATCACATTTGAGGTCCTTGGTTTAAAGAAACCTGAAATAAAGGACCACACATGTAATTCTGTGGTGGATACTCTGTCTTCACCATCTTTAAACTCTAAGGATTTGCACCATGCATTCCGAGTTAATGGGCTATTGAAATGCAAGATCAGTACGGGAGATTTAACGGTATGATTAATCTCACACCATGTTTTGCTCATAATTTGAAACTCTTTGTTCATCTCTCTTACAAGTTTGAATGCTCTTAGGGCATTGTCTCAAGGCTTAAAGATGCCGCCAAAGATGCAACAACCCTTCTAGATTATTATCATTCAATAGGAGGTTTGGTACTTATTAAGGTAACTGGTCTCATTTGGAAAAAAAAAACTTATACTAAAGCTACCAATTGTAAGGAAAAATTTCAGGTTCCTTATTGTGTATTAACTTTAGGCATGGATTTACATTCTTTCATGGCATAATTACTCTTTAATCTTCATGCAGGATCAGAATCCTGAAGTTGATGTATTTCTTGGGAATGCTGATGGGATTTTACGCTCCATAAAGGTTGGTTTTACTTTTACTTATAGTCTTATATTGTGTAGTAAGTAACAATATTTTCTTCCTTTAAAGCATACTCTAGTCCTATGTGAATGTCTAGTTGACTTATTCATTATTCCCAGGCTCTCAGTCAAAGTGATGGAAGGTGGCGCTATAGTTCTAACAATCCTGAATCCAGTACTTATGCTGCAGGTAACCTTTGTTATTAAATCAAAAAATTATTAATGTTTTGTGGTGTTTCTAAAGGTTGGTCAAAGTATGTTTGACCAGTTTTCAAGGGTCATTTTATTTGGTCAATTACTCAATACTCACTAGTCGTTACATATATTAACTTGATTCAGGGCTAGCACTTGAAACCCTTTCTGGAGTTATTTCATTATCAGCTTCTCCAGTTGACGAAAATCTGGTAACTTAATTTACATTCTGTTCAACAACATGAAAGGGTCATGATCTTAATTAACTATTGCACACCTATATGCAGATTGGTACACTGAACAAGGATATTGTGAAACTCTTTGACAGCATTAAGAAATATGGTTAGTATATGAACTGTTTACTCCCTTTTAAGAATTATCGATGATATATGATCTCAATATCATTGTGTAGATGATGGAGCTTATTACTTTGATGACAAACTCATTGATGCAAGTGGACATCAAGGTCCACTTTCTGCCACCTCAGCAGTTGTTCGGGGGCTGACTACCTTTGCATCCGCTTCTGGAAGTTTAAACGTTGGACACACACTTTCATTTTCTTTTACAACAAACGACTTCTGTTATTCTTATTTTCTGCTAATGTTCTTCAACTATTGCAGATACCCGAGGAAAAGATTTTGGGTTTGGCAAGATTTCTCCTTGGTATTGGAATCCCTGGCACTAGCAAGGACTTGTATTACCAAATTGACGCTCTTTCTTGCTTAGAAAACAATAGGTATGTATATAAATGTATATGTATACACATATATCTTGTTTTTCTTAAAATTATTCTCAAGTCATATATTTTGCAGGGTATCAGTTCCTTTAGTTTTGTCACTTCCAGCTACAGTGCTCTCATTGACCAGTAAAGATAAACTCAAGGTCAAAGTGAACACTGTGTTGGGATCTGCTGGTCCTCCTTTATCAGTAAAACTCATGCAAGTTTTCAGCTCCGGTTCAAAAGACGCTTCTGTCCTTAAACAGGTGTTCCACAAATCAACATTTATCATGCCCTTGTAGTTATTTGTGCTATACTAAGTTTCTAGGTTTGACTTTGATGACCTTGTTTCAGGAACTAAATTATGATCCAAAAGAAGGAATCCACACCATGGATGCCTTGCCAGAAGGTGTTGATGTTGGGGAGTACATTTTTGCTTTTGAGGTACTAAATTCTATAAGATTTTCATTTTGAACTTTTTTTTTTTTATTTGCACCAATTTAATTTAATACTTTTGTTTCTCTTCCCAGATTGTCCTTTCTGATCCAGAACATAAGAAAATATATGCAACTGGAGGCCGAACAAAAGTGCCAATCCATGTCACAGGAGTTGTTACAGTTGATAACGCCAAAATTGCATTGCTCGAGGGTGATGTTCTCGAGTCTGAAATAAAGTAAGCCACATCAAATTTTTTTTCAGACTTTTATTGTTGCATTCATTTAACTTGACATTTTTGTATTGTTAGGCTTGATCTACCTGGAAAGAATGACGTGGCAGTATCAGCAAACCACCTTCAAAAGCTTCACTTATCCTTTCTGTTGAAAACCCCACTTGGGAAACCATTCAAGCCTCATCAGGTTTCCAACCACCTCCCAAAATGTTTTTATCTGTTTATTTACTTTTCCAGTTAATTTATTTAACTCACTTTCAGGTGTTATTAAAACTGAGGCATGAAACTGGGGTCGAGCATATCTTCGTAGTTGGCAACTCCGGGAAACGGTTTGAGATGACACTGGTAAAGTAATTTTTTTTTTTTTTTTTTTCTTTTTCATATTTTGACTTATTTTTTACACTTTCCCTACATTCCGAATTTCAGGATTTCCTTGGTCTTGTTGACAAGTTTTACTATCTATCTGGTCAGTACAACATTGAGCTGAGCGTGGGTGATGCTGTCATGGTAAATATTATTGCATTTTACAATAATCACTTTCAATGAATAAATTATCCAGTCATTTCATTTAAATTTTCAGGAGAATTCTTTCTTACAAGCTCTCGGGTATATCGAATTAGATCTACCCAAGGCACCCGAAAAATCAACACACCCACCACCTCAACCCACTGATCCTTATTTAAGATATGGTCCCAAAGCAGAGATAAACCACATCTTCCGGGTCCCAGAAAAACGTCCTCCCCAACAGCTTTCTTTCACTTTCTTGGCTCTGGTTTTCGTCCCATTCCTCGCATTCTTGATTGGGGTAAATCCCAAGTCTTTATATTTTATGTTTTTATTTATTTAATTAATCGTTTATGGTTCTAAATTATTATTATTATTATTATTATTATTATTTTATTCTAGTTGTTACGTCTGGGTGTGAACTTGAAGAACTTCCCTACATCAGCCGTACCTGCCACATTTGCAATCCTCTTCCACGGTGGCATTGCAGCTGTCCTCTTGCTCTATGTGTTTTTCTGGTGGAAGGTAAAAATACTCGATCTATTATAGTTTGAATAATTTATTTCTATGGTAAAACTGTAACAGACATGTTTTTTTTATTTTTTATTATTGGTGACAGTTGGATCTTTTCACCACGTTGAAAGCTTTGGGAGTGCTAGGGATCTTCTTGATGTTTGTGGGACATAGCACTCTTTCACACCTTGCTTCCACATCAGCCAAAATAAAATCGGCTTGAATAAAAAAAGAACAAGATAGAGATACCATTACATAGAACATGGCAGCAGATTTTGGACCATGATTATAATTAGAGTTATCAGAATTCAGTTTTGACTTTGTAGTTTGATCTTGTATTGTTATCTAACCATATTTGGATATTTTTTTCCAGAGTCTCAGGTCTAATGTTACAATTTTAGGATTTATCATGACACAAGTTTGGTTTTTAAAAACATTGCAAACTAGCTTTATACAAATACAAATTATTCCAAATATGAATACAAAATATAGGGTACGGTAAAATAACACGTTGTCTTTAGAGGTTCATTTTGCTTCTGTTAGTCCATTTTTTGGACAATTTTGGAGACATGATTCAAGAGTTGCGTAATCTTCTTTATGGCAGATTGCAATCCGTTTGAAATAAAAATTCTCTCAGCTTTCTAGTTGAAAGTTAGTTAGTCACTTGTGCATATCAATCATCTACAATGGTGAAATATTTAGAGATGAACACTCAATCTTACATAATCATATATTTTAGGTTTAATTAATTAACATACGGCATATATATTTTAAATTTCAATTGTTTATTTCTTGTATCTACGATACCATTTTACAAATATTTAAATATTACATAAAATTCAATTACTATTAATAAAAAATCAAAGTGGAAATTTTAAGACGTCTATGCAACTATTGCGTCAGCAGGTCATCACCGTTACAGTATTTTATTTGTTATTATTATTATTATTATTATTTTGTGTCACGGACACAACTGAAATCTGTGAATTTGAAACTCTCTAGATGAAGGAAAAAAAGGGAAATAAAGAGCAATTTTACAAATTTCTCTTTTGGAAACATCATACGTTTATTAAACGACAAAAAGCGAAACACTGGTATCGTGGTACTAGCGGAGCGCTCTTTTTCTTACAGCCACTCCTCCTCCGTCACCACCGCCACGGCCACCACCATCCTTTTCATTTCTGCAGTAGCATCAGTACGTTCTACTTTCTAAACTATTTTCCGGCGTTGATAAACTCCCACTTTAACTTTACCGACTCCCGATCGCACGTTATCTGTCCTAATTAGTTAGTTTTCGTTATAAATCCATGGGCTTGTGTTTTGTTAATCTGAGCTTCTGAATTTTCCAGTGTGATTGAATCGTTTTCCCTGTTATATAGACTATAGTACTGGACTTGGTTTCTTATAGAAACTGTACAAGAAGCGATAGCGTGTTGATTGTGTTTTGTGAATCAGAATTTTGAGTGTGATTGAACTGATTTTTTGTGTTATGTAGTACTGGAGTTGATTTCCTATAGAATTTACAAGCTGCGACGCGTGTATAGGTGTTTACGAGCTCTGGGGATCCTAGATAGCGACTTCCCAGGCATCATTTTCGTTGATTTGGTAAGAATTTGTATCTATCTTGCAATCTAGTATTCACCGTTTTCTGTTTCGACTGGCTATCGAGTAAATTGATCTATTTGGTTTAAGATTTGGGAATTCCGATTACAGTTCCCGTTTATCAAATTTATGACCGTCATAAGGTTCCGCTTGTTTTGTTTGTTTGAAGTTGTAAAGAGATTTCTTCTGCTTCAGCCTTCAGGGATCTTCCCAAATTCCAACACTTTAACAGAATTCGTTAATTTCCTATATTTGGCTATATAACATACCCCCCCTCTCTCTCTTTTCCTTCATTAGGGTTTATATTGCAAAAGAGTTTATTCCAAAATCACACAGTAATGATGAAAAGGAAAATGGATGGGATGCCAGCTCCACCAGGTTTTGTATCTGTCACATCTTTTACACTCACAAAAAGGAACGATGAAGCTTGTAATTTGGTGGAAATTCAAAATGACATTAAACCAGAGCCCGTTGGAAAGCTTCAAAAGTCTCTCAAGCAAAGGCCATGGATACTTCATGACCAACTCATCAACAAAAAGCCAGATAGAACACATCAAACTACAGTTATCTATATGACTATATCCTTGGCCCTTTTCTTTTCTTTTTACAACTACTCTTTAATCAAAGAGCAGTTAATAATCAAATGTTATTTTTTTTTTCAGAATATATCTTTCGAAAATACCCTTCCAAAAGGAGTGATTCGTGGGTGTTCAATGTGCAATAATTGCCAAAAGGTTTGACCTCATTCCTTCCAAATTGGCTCTGTGATATTTAAATACCATTTTCATCTTTTGACACACTTTTATACTTAACCCTAGATTACAACTTTTACAGGTTACTTCAGGTTGGCGTCAAGAAGAGCCATGCAGACCTGTATTAGAATCTGCTCCAGCATTTCACCCCACTGAAGTGGTAATCATTAATCAAGCTTTGACTTTCTATGACACTCAGTTTATGTCTTTGTAATCAAGCCTTGACTTTCTATGACAGGAATTTAAAGATGTTCTTGGATATATTTCCAAAATACGCCCAAAAGCTGAGGAATACGGAATTTGCAGGATTATTCCTCCTGATTCATGGAAACCACCATCTCTTCTAAATGGAAATAAATGGGAATCATCTAGATTCTCTACTCATATTCAACAGATTGATGAACTTAAAGATCTGCATTCAAAGAGAAAACTTCATGAAATGATTGAGCAAGCAGAAGGAAAAAATGGATCTGATGGTTTTGAATTTGAATCTGGTCCTGAATTCACACTGAGGACATTTAAGGCATATGCAGCGCATTTCAAAGGTCAATATTTTAAAAAGCAAGACATTTATACCGATCATAAGATTCGACCTTGGGAAAATGTTGAAGGGGAATATTGGCGAATTATTCAGAACCCAACTGAGCAAATTCAGGTATTTCGACACTTAACAAGTATTTGATTATAATTAAAATGACACTTGTGCCCTTTCTTAAGCTGACTTCTCATAGGTACTCTCCGGTCATAATCTGGACACAAAAGTAATTGGCAGTGGGTTCCCTTTACCATCATCACTCGACACACATAAGAATAAAAATCAAAGTGAATACACTAAATCACCCTGGAACTTAAATAACACCTCAAAGCTGCCTGGATCTCTTCTTGCTTTTGATTATGACAATTCTGCCCTTTCAACCCCACGCCTGGATGTCGGAATGTGCTTTTCCTCCCTTTGTTGGGTAAGATTTGAATGCTCTTTATTTTATCAATAAGTTGCCAAATGTCTAAATTCTCCTTTCTTGTTTTCCTTTTCAGAAAGTTGAAGAGCACAACTTGTATACTATCAGTTACATGCACCAAGGTGCCTCAAGAACCTGGTATGGCATTCCCAGTAAATATCGCCAAAACTTTGAATCATTACTGAAGAAAACCTTCCCGGAGTTATCAGGAAAACCCGAATTGTTCCATAAGCTAGTGAGTACCACTGAGCAAAAAGACGTAAATACCCCTTTCTATATAATGTAATGAGTTAAAATTCACAATATGTACTACAATTACATACAGGTCACTCAGCTTTCACCCTCTACCCTAAAATCAGAGGGTATACCCGTCTACCACTGTGTACAGCATCCAAAACAGTTTGTCATCATCTTTCCAGGTGCATCCTATTCAGGATTTGATACGGGTTTCAGTGTTTCCGAGAAAGTCAACCTTGCACCCGTTGACTGGTTGCCATATGGACAGCTGTCAGTTGAAATTTACAGTGAGTTGCATAGAAAAACATCAATCTCGTATGATAAAATGTTAATCGAGGGGGCCCGCTATGCCATCAAAACACGGATGCCAGGGGAGGATTCAAATGCATGTGGAAAGGATGGTTGGTTTACAAGAGCTCTTAAGGTAAATCATAGGAAAAGTTAGCCTTATTCAGGGACCAAAAGTGTAAATTACTTTATGAATTTCAAAGTACAATAGGAAGAAATAAAATTACGTGTTTGTTTCTATGGAACAGTCGCGGGTCAAGCGTGAAGGCTTCAAGAGGGAGTTGCTATGCAACGCATCACAGTCACGTAGGATGGAAGAAGGTTTTAGTTGTTTGGTGAAACAGGAATGCATCGTGTGCTTTAGTGACTTGTACCTTTCAGCTACTGGTTGTACATGCTCGCCTGAAAAGTACTCTTGTCTTGAACATTCAAAGCAGCTGTGTACATGTCCATGGAGTTCAAGGTTTTTTCTTTTTCGCGATGACATCCGCGACTTGAATAGAATAATAGAGGCTTTAGAAGGAAAGTGAACGTCTGACTATTATTTTAAGGTGTTAAATTATTATTAAATCGTATGAAATATTGTATCCTTGCATGCATTGTATCTTTTTTTGTTGTATAAATTATATTTTAGTGAAGCTTTTGGTGATTTGTAATGTTGATGTCAGTGTATGATCTTTAATATAGTATCTCAACAACGTAACAACTGAGGTCCTGGTTCCGACTTTTAAAAAGAAATGATTATATTTAATGTAAAAAAGGGGGAAGTTGAGTAGTCTAACCATTATTTTGGTTGTTTGTAAGAAAATAACATTTTTTTTTTGCAAATTGACCACTTGGTCCATAATGGGTTGTTACGGACATGATTTCAAATTCGGTTAAACGGGTACATACCATCTAACCTGTTTGTACTACACTTTGACATTCCTTGTTTCGGATTGCCGTACATCTCATTTTGGATACATCTATATTTGAAAATGTCTTCCGATAGCAGTGAAGAAATGCACTTTTTATTTGTAAGTTTCAAATTTGTTTCTAATTAAATCAATTTATTTTAGATTATAAGTTAAAATTTTTTTAGTTTATATAATTATATAGGTATTATAGAATTTTCTGTGAATTTTAATCGTGTTAAGGCAATTATAGGATTACATGGACTTATCTATTTATACTACATGATCAGGGCCGATCCTAGCCAATTTGAGGTCCGAGACGAAATAGAAGATGAAGCCCTTGAAATTACATAATTTTATAATCAAATGATTTCATGTACTAATTCACTAAAATGTACAATTATTTGATGTTGCTACTGCTTAAAAAAGAAACTTCATCGATGAATGCATGTTTGAAGACTTTCAAGTTTTGATAAATATATCTTTCTCGATGCATAACATAGCTATGTCATGTTCATAAATTTTCATTAGGCAAAAAAAGTGAACAAAGCCACTATATTTGTACCACATTAGAGATATACCTAATCGAGGAGGCAAGCCATAAGACACATCGACAATTTGAGATTGCAATACAATAAAAAAAAAGTCTCTAAAAAGATTTTTAAACGAAAAAGAAAGTTGATTATGTTTTACATCTGGCTGTTGAACTTTATATTAAAATTGTTACCATAGTAATACCAAATTAAATATGAATACAAAAATTTGATTTCTACAATGAAATTAGCAAACAGGATAGAAATTAAAAAATAAACAAATAAATAAAAAAAATGAGAAGGGAATCGCTTGCGTCATTTTGAGAGCCACAAACAACCTTTAATAATTAATAAGTAAAAAATATATAAAAAAAATCAAAACATATTTCTTGATAACTGAGAAGTTGTTTGCGTGGGAGGCACACAACATTTAATAGATTATTAAGTAAAATATACTATTAAAAATTTAAAAGATGCATTTCGCAAGGGTCGAATCGGGCATCTACAACTTCAATTACTACCAATCTACCATCTCAACTACAAGCGCAATATGCTTTTTTAGCCGCATATTATATTTTATATCATAAAAATCGTATATATATATATATATATATATATATATATATATATATATATACACACACACACACACACACACACACACACATTAATTGTAAATTTTAGGGGTCCCGAGATTTAGCGAGGCTCGGGGCGGTCGCCCAGGTTGCCCATGCCCTAGGGCCGGCTCTGTACATGATACATCATTATCAAAACCCCTAATTTTCGCTAGTCCGAAATGTGTCTTAAATCCGAGTGTGGCTAACCTTACGCACGTGCTCAATAACTTACTTCACCAATTAAGTAATGAAGATGTGGTGGGAGTCTCACTACTGTATATGCTAGAGCAATGAGTTTTGGGGAGATACCCTCGACATCCGGTTACTAGCGAACATATGGCACTCGTCTCTAATTTACCGGTATACAATTTTTTACCCACATTATATCAAAATGATACATATACTTATTAAGTGTATTTTTTGACATGGGTACCCATGTGGTAGATTGATATGAGATTTCACTTACAAACAGATGCGTACTGTGTTTGACAAGATTGAGGACCTTTTGAACCCAAATGTGCCAAGAATCGGCAGTAGACACATATATACTCTGCATAGATTTTTCTATGCATTTAAGGTATGTACATTATGTTTAATAAGAGTTTTTTAAACAAGTATTGTAACTTTGTTAACTTGGTAAGTTGTTTGTCATCTTAATTTTGTAGATTTAGATCTTAGAGAGATTTCCGAACAATAGTATTTCTGGTTCCCCCATACCGAGTGTTATCCCTCAACCCCAAGAACCCTAGGTAATTTTCGAAAATCATAAAATAGGGTTTAGGATTACATACCTTAATTGTTATTGTAGTAAATAACGATGATTCATTCTTAAAGATCTCTTGGAAGCAAGCACCACAAGTATTGTGCCTCTAATGGAATCACACCCAAACTAGCAAGAGATTTGTAACGCTTGTAGATCCGGACTAGTCAATTTAGAGATAATAGGGGTCGAAAACGAATTTTCGACAAAAGATTATTTAGAATAAATAATCTTAACCAAGTTGTAGAATATGTCTCAAGGGTTCTGTACATATAAAGAGCGTCGGAATCCGAGTTATAACGAAGAAGTTATGACCCGTACAAGTTTTGCGACGGAAGCGGCACGACACCGGGGAGACGTAAATAGTGAATTTATGATAGAGAGACTTTTAGCCTTAGTGATCTAAATGAAATTCATAGAATATGTTAACCTGAGAGCATCCATAAAAAGAACGCCCAAATCTGATTTCGTATGAGGAAGTTATGATTTTTCTAAGATTTGGCTTAGCAGTGCATGACCCGAAACTCGAATTTTAGTTCGAGAGATTTTTGGCTTACACAACCTAAATGAGACTTGAAGATCTCATTAATAGGAACTCAACGGTAAAAAGAAAGATGAAAACGGAGTCTGTATGAAGGAGTTACGAATTTTTCGCGGTCATTTAACAGTCTAATCTTTTCGTACTGTTAAATTTAAGATGGGCCAAGAATTAGCCGACGGAGTCAAAATGAAAGTTGTAGATCTTATTTTTAACTACGCGTGGATATAAATAATGTCAAAACGGAACTTGTATGTGAAAGTTACGGATTTTAGAAGTCGGAAGTGTGCTGTGCGAAAATGGGTGATGTGGAACAATCTTGGGCATTGCTTTCTCCCCAAGTCTTGCCACCAGATGGTGACATGTGGCACCAAGTTCAGCCATATTTCACCCTATAAATAGAACCCCTCTCACCCTCATTTTCTTCACACATTTCCCATTCTTTCTTCTCTTTACTCTCTCTCTCTCTTTAGAACCTCTCTCTAGCCCCGAAACCACCCGAAAAGCCTAGGGAACCTCCCTAGCACGAGGCGGAAGCCCCGGAGAGCTCGACGGCTCCGAAAGAAGAGCTTTTCCGCTCGGGAACGCTGCTCCAAGCAAATCCCGGTTTTCTATAAAACCCGCTGTAAGTAAGCTACGCCTACGCTATTTTTAATATAACTTTTATTTAATTATAGTAACGTTATTAGGAACTTATAATAAGTACTTGAGCTATTATTATGGGTTATATAAGTATTGTTTAACTCTTATATAATAGTAATAATAGCTAGACTATTAATTAGTATCAGTGAATAATAGACTAAAATCTAGTGGTAATAATAATAGGTTTCGTCGAAGAAAATTATTTTTAAGAAGCCAAGCATTGTCTGAGTTTGGAATCACCACCTTTTCAAGTGAGTGCATAGTTACTTTCATCTTACACATAGATATGAAGTATTTTATATAAATTACGTGCTATGTGTGCATATTATTTGAATACTTGTTGTCTATGCTGGATGAACGATTTTATACATGTTTTAAAAATTTAAACGGTATATTTATTTTATATCTACAAATATTTTGCGGATGAAACATGGGTAGATGAAATAGTTGGTGTGTGATGAAATAAAATGATGAGAGATAGGTGATGATAGAAAGGTGATGATAATTACGTAAATAGATGATGAAGAATAGGTGATGTAGGATGAAAGGAGATACCTTAACATTAACCGACAATGTGGCGATGTGGTCATCTACCAGAGTATAGATGGCGACCACAGACTATTCTAGACAACCCCCGTGGAAACACCAGCAGGCCCATAACCTGTAGGTGATGAATTACGAGTTCCGATGATGTTGTAACTACGTATTCATGCGATGATACTCTAACCCCTTACTATGAATTATGAGTTCAGGCGATGTTGTAACTACGTATTCATGTGATGATGCCCTAACCCTTGTTGGGCACGTATTGAGGGAGTAATCCCTGAATCAATACTGTCTATGCGATGTAGGAGATGATCCTTAGGGAGAGTCCTTAGGAACAAACATATAAGGAAATGCGATGTAAGGAGATGAGAGGTAAATATGGTAGGAGACGATCCTTAGGATAAATCCTTAGGGAAGGTACTTAGGAATAAAGAAGATAATGAGGATGGGTAATCGGGTTAATTGTTTGATGATTAAACATAATAATTATATTATTGTGGGTTGAAAACCCTAAGTACTCACCAGGTTTCCCAACCTGACTCACTTAGTTTACTTGTATCACAGGTGACGATGTGAAGTTACATTACACTGAGAGATTAAGGAGATATAGATCACTAGTGTAAATGAATGTAAGTTCTGTTTATGCTTATGTTTCTATATTGCCGATAACATCCCAAATGTTTTAAAATGAATAAAAATACATTTCTTCGGAAATGCTTTGATAATGAAATTATCATGTTTTTCTGGGAACAAATTTCGCAATGTTTTTATTAGAAGAGATACTCTAATTTTTATAAAGCATAAACAAAATCGGTCTTTTCTGGCCGTGAAAATAGGGATGTCACACTTGCTATCAGAGCATTAGTTTAAGCGAACTAGGAATTTGTAGGATTTCTAGACTTAAACTTAGAATGCTAAGCAATGACTGTGAGATGTGAGCACTAGCTTATTTTAGCACATAAAAATGCTTTTATGTGCTAAATGCTTTATGTGTTCGGGTTTCTAAACGTTTAATTACGGTATTAGAACTCACATATAAATTTTCGGAGAGATAAGGGGATTATACGTCAATCATAATTAAAATCTTTCCTATCTTAATTCTCGTCATTACACACCGACCATATGAT